TAGCCGGGTTCTCAGTGCTACATTCCGATGATTGTGTTTGTCCAGCTCCCTTTCTTTTCAGTGAGAGCTGCAAACCATTCTACTTCTCTAGAATAGCTAACACAATGGGCAGGCAGGGTGCTGTTCTGAGTTCTTTATGGATATTATCTCACAACAATCTTATGAACTGTTACTATTATCATTCTCATTTACAGATGGGGAAATGAGGCACAAGCCACAGAGCTGGGTTTTGGACCCGGGCAAGGCTCCAGAGCACACAGGCCTAACTGCTCTGTTCTAATGCCCCCACTAAAGCTGCTCATTTTCATTCCTTTCCCTACTCCCCAGACATCTCCAGCAGATAACCACCCCCCATCACCCACTTCATTGTGATGACTGGGGTCAACTGGTGGGACTTCTGTCCACTTCCAAGCCAAACCCCAGCTTACTTAGATCTCTTCCCTTGTCTCTTCCACCAGCCCTGCCTTCATTTTAGGAGTCAACCCCCTTAAGCCTTGGTTTTCTGATCTACTAGTAGGGCTGATACTAACACCCATAGAGTGGGACTGTTTGTGAGGACTGAGCGTGTTTATTCATGGAAAGTGCTTCTCCTGGCACATACTAAGTGCTCAGAAGATGTTATTCTTTTTTATCCCCCTCATATCTGGTTCCTTCTCTCTTCTCTCTCTTCATTCCATTTCTCTTTACAGGTTGTGTTAATTTCGTATTCCTGCTGAAAAAAATGATCACAAATTCAGTGATAGAAAACAATACATATTTATTATCTGGGGTCAGAGTCTCAATGGGGTTTCAAACTGGACTCTGGAAGGCTCTGGGAAGAATCCATTTGGTCACTTTTTCCAGTTTGTAGAGGCTGACCACACTCCTTCGCTTGTAGCCTGCTTCTGTCTTCAGAGCCAGCAGTGGTGGGCTGAGTCCCCAGGTTGCATTATTCCAACCTTGATTCTGTCGTTCCATCTTCTTCTCTGACTCTTCTGCCTCCCTCTTTCATTTACAAAATGTGATTACACCAGGATAATCCAGGAGAGTCTCTTCTTCTTAGTATCCTTAACTTAATCACATCTGCAAATTCCTTTTTTGCTGTGGAAGGTGACATATTCACAGGTTCTGGGGATTAGGAGGTGGATTCCTTTGGTGGCTGTTATTCTGCCTACAGGTTCTTTCCTCTTGGGATACAGCAAGCAAGAAGCACCCAAAACAAAATATCCCTCTTTAACAGTACATTCTCTTCTGCCTTCCTCCCTTCTCAGCCAGGCTCTTTGAGGGTTGCCTTGACTAGTTTTCTCCACCTCCTGACAACCTGCTGCAGTCTGCATCTGCCCCCACATTCCACCAAACCCACTCTTGCTTGGATCACCCGTGGCTTCCAGATTGCCAAATCCGTGGGCACCTTTCATTCTTAACCGGCTGCGTTTTCCATATTAGCTGCCCATTCCTTCATGAGACCTTTCTGTCCCCTCTCTGCTTTTATGTCACTTTCTGCTGGTTTTCTCCCTCTTCCTTTCCAGCTTAGACTCCTCTATGAGCTGCACCATCTCCACCCACCCCTGAAATGTCCATGTTTCCCCGGGGTTTGGATCTTGGATCCGTTGTTCTTTTCTTGGGTGAGCTTGTCCCACACTGCTGGTTTTAAATGCCACTTGCATAGGGATGAGCACCTCCTGCTTGTGCTGTACCCATCTCTGGCTGCTGGCCGGGAGCGTTGGTGAGGACTGTGCTTCCGGTCATCCCATCGGCTCGTCGGCTTCCTTGGTCTCCTTTGAGGCAGACATGTGAGAGAGCTCACTGAGGCAGTGACTTGAGAAGCATGCAGCCTGGGGCACTTGGTGCTTCTGTTCCGGGCAGTATGGCTGTTTCCATACTGTTTCCATCGCGATGGAATGGGATTCTCTCAGGACATCTCAGAGGACAGGTGGAAGGCAGCGAACACGGCAGTGCCGAAGGACAGAGCTGTGTTTAGCAGGGGTGACAGGAAAGCACGCAGGCGTGCCAGATCATCAGGCACGTATTTATTGGAGCAAACCCCTCCATTACCATTGTGGTTTGCAACAGCTGTAGCTCTGAAGGAGCCACAAGCTAACTGGAGCACAAAGGCACACGAACATTCAAAGCAAGTCAAGGTGCATCCTAACTGCAGTTAGACACGCAAGACTCTCACCAGAAAGAACAATCTGCCCGAACGGCAGGGCTGCCTGTGAAGCCAGGAGGGCTGCTGAGGGAGGTGTGGTAATCAGGAGTGGTCTTGGGGGCAGAGGGGGGTGAAACAGGTGAAACAGAACTTAAGCAGGGAATGGACATTTCAGGCAGGGAAATAGCGTGTGCAAAGACTTGGAGTCAACTTGGGGAACAAGGAGAATGTGGGGGAGATGAGGTTGAAGAGGAGGACTGTGTCCAGGGCATCAGGGCCTCAGATAATGCTGGTACAGGAAGTCTGAACTTTGTCTTGTTGGTAGTAGGGGACCGTGGAAGTGTTTTGAGCAGGGGAATGACTTGGCAGAGCTCAGCTTTAGGAAGACTATTCCAGTCTTGGGTGGACTGGGGAGGGCCCCAGATCTTAAAATATGCAAAATATAATTTTAGAGAGAGGAGCTACCTTGGCAATTACTTATCTATTTCTATAATTGTATATATGTGTGTATTTTTAGATGTATATATGTGTGTATATTTATATCTAATATATATATATTTTTTAAGTACATACACATACACATTGGACGACCTAGATGGAGGATGAGTGACAAAGGCACACAGTGACAAAGCCAGCATTAGAACTCAGAGCTAACTCCTGGTCCCATGCTCTTCCTCTGCAGGGTACTCATGGAGGCAGAGGTATCTGAAAGGAGGCCAGTTTAATCATCAGGGCAGATGGTGGTACAAGCCTTGACCAGGGCAGGACAGGGCAGACACTGAGGGGAAGACTGTGTGGGAGGCAATGAGGATATGTTCTCTCTCCTTCTCCCTCTCTGGGTGGGGGTTGGGACATAGGGCTCGTTGGAGACTGCACATGAGTGCATCTCTCCTTCCTGGGTCCTGCAGCATCCTTCTGGGCCTGGTTTCTATGGCAACAGGCTCCCAGCAGGCAGCCTGCCAGCTGGAGAGAAGTAGGCAGGCAGGCAGGCAGGGAGAGAAGGCCTGGGCAGCAAGAGGAAGGCTGAAGTTGCGGGGGTTGGGAGAGTCTCTTGGGGAGGTGGAGGGACCCCTAGAGCTGGCCCCACAATCCCTTCTGACCATGTAGGGGTGGAGGTAGCTCAGGACACACAGGCTTTTCTTTTGTGGTCCTTGAATTTCCAAACCTTGATCTTCTGTTTATCCCCCACTTCCCACATCTCCTGGCTCCCACTTCTTAAAGTATTGCCTGGTCCCAACCTCATGCATCTTAAGGGACCGCTGACTTCTTTATAGAAAAGAACTCTGAATTCAGGGAAAAAATGAACAAGGTCAGTTGACTTTCTGGTTTGCATAAGATTTGCATATTATTAACTCAAAGACAAGAAATTTCCAAGCCCTATGTCATTCCTGCAAATAACTTAATTCAGCTCCACTGGCACTGACTTACTGTGTCTGGCCAGGCTCTGGGCTGAGCCATCGGGGTCCCTAGAGAAGTCCTCCCAGCTGCAGGCCCACTCCACCCGCAGCTGCTCCAAGGCATTTCTTCCTGTGATGTTCTAGTAGCTGGTGCAGTGCGAAGTGCTTGGGCTGTGGAGCCCAGCAGCCCTGAGTCCAAATCCTGGCTCTGCTACTTTGAAGCTGGGTTGACTTGGTTTACTCATCTCTAGGTAGGGCTGAGGACACTCTAGTGCAGCTGGTGTAAACTAGCATAGACATAGCATTTGTTAAAATATTGAAATACTTCGGCCAGGCGTGGTGGCTCACGCCTGTAATCCCAGCACTTTGGAAGGCTGAGGTGGGCGGATAACCTGAGGTTGGGAGTTTGAGACTGGCCTGATCAACATGGAGAAACCCTGTCTCTTCCAAAAAGAGACAAAAGGCGCATGCCTGTAATCCCAGTTACTCAGGAGGCTGAAGCAGGAGAATCGCTTGAACCCGGGAGGCAGAGGTTATGGTGAGCCGAGATCATGCCATTGCACTCCAGCCTGGGCAACAAGAGCAAAATTCCATCTAAAAAAAAAAAAAAAAAAAAAAAAAAAATTGAAATACTTCTGCCTTCACTAGTAAAGAGCCACCACCCTGGCTCCTCTGACCCACCCCACAATCTAGCCTCTCCAGGGCACTGCTGCAGCATTTTGGTCTGTGCCTGCTCTGCCTGGCATATGCCAGCATCTGCTCTGTCCATGGACTGAACTGGTTGCTAAATAGTTTGGATATCACCCTTGTCTAGAGGCAGTGCAATAGGTAGGTATATTATGTACATAACTGTTGCAAGGACATATATATATATATATATATTTTTTTTTTTCTTTTTGAGACGGGAGTCTCACTCTCTCACCCAGGCTGGAGTGCAGTGGTGGATCTCGGCTCACTGCAAGCTCTGCCTCCCAGGTTCACACCATTCTCCTGCCTCAGCCTCCCGAGTAGCTGGGACTACAGGTGCCCGCTACCACGCCTGGCTAATTTTTTGTATTTTTAGTAGAGGCGGGGTTTCACCGTGTTAGCCAGGATGGTCTCGATCTCCTGACCTCGTGATCCGCCCACCTCGGCCTCGCAAAGTGCTGGGATTACAGGCGTGAGCCACCGCGCCCGGCCAGGACAATCCTGGCTAATTTTTTGTATTTTTAGTAGAGGCGGGGTTTCACCGTGTTAGCCAGGATGGTCTCGATCTCCTGACCTCAGGATCCGCCCACCTCGGCCTCGCAAAGTGCTGGGATTACAGGCGTGAGCCACCGCGCCCGGCCAGGACCAATATATTTAAAGTGCATAGGTTAATGTCCATCACTTTGTAGGTTCCCTTCCTCATTCCCTTCCTTTTTTTTGGCTTGGGGTGGGGGTGAGAGCTGGGATGAGCCTGGGCAATGGGGGATGACAGCCACCCCTCTCCCCAGGCGAGCAAGGTTCAAGCGCTCCAACAGTGTGACAGCCGGTGTGCAGGCAGACCTGGAGCTGGAGGGCCTGGCAGGCCTGGCCACGGTTGCCACAGAAGACAAGGCCCTGCAGTTTGGACGTTCCTTCCAGAGGCACGCCTCTGAGCCCCAGCCTGGGCCCCGGGCCCCCACTTACTCAGTCTTCCGCACGGTCCACACGCAGGGCCAGTGGGCCTACCGCGAGGGCTACCCACTGCCGTACGAGCCGCCGGCCACCGATGGGTCGCCCGGCCCTGCCCCCGCCCCCACCCCCGGCCCCGGGGCCGGCCGCCGTGACTCCTGGATAGAGCGCGGTTCACGTAGCCTCCCCGACTCAGGCCGCGCGTCCCCCTGCCCACGGGACGGCGAGTGGTTCATCAAGATGCTGCGGGCAGAGGTGGAGAAGCTGGAGCACTGGTGCCAGCAGATGGAGCGTGAGGCGGAGGACTATGAGCTACCTGAGGAGAGTGAGTCACGGCATCAGAATGAGGGGACTCTGGGGACCATGGCCTAGTGTGTGCTCAGGAGACCCTGATGGGGGTGGCTGGGGCTGCAGTGTAACAGGAGGCCCCTTCAGTTTGTGCTTCACTGGTCTGCATTGGAGCGTGGCAGGTCAACATTGGTAGCAAGGCATGCTGGGAGCTCTTGGAAGGGAGCAGGGTGCACACGGTGCAGCTTTAGAGGCCAGGGGCTGGGACTGCAGACAATGCAGGCCAAAGGGCTGGACCTTCTATGGATGGCTACTAGTCCAAATCACCAAGTTTATGGGGACTAAGATCTGGACTGGTGTGGGGATCCAGGTGGTGGGACCGAGATTACAGAGAGGGAGGCAGTTCACAATGTCAGATCCTGTCTGAGGCATAGATGAGGGAGATTCAGCCAGGGAGACATGGCCCTGGCCTGAGGGAAAGCCTGGCGCTTCCTGTAAGTCAGATCCACTGTGAGAGACAGTCTTACTTCAGAATCTCTGAGTTGAGGCGACAGTGACTATGAAGATGTGTTACGTACATTAAATTACTTGGTCATTCTTAAAGAGCCAAGGAGTCTTGCATGCACTGGTGAGTGATGAACAAAGCTTAGCCAATGGGTGGTCACTGAGCTAATGCCCTGGCCAAGGCCATAGGCTAGGCTGGGGCTGGTTTCTGTCTGTTTTCTGATATGGGAGGGAGAAAGGATAAAGAAGAATGAGCACTCAAGAAATGTAGGCTGTATGAAGGAGGAAACATCAGGGTCTGAGGATACAGTCTTGGTGTAGTGGAGCAAGAACTTGTTATGAACTTGAGGATAGGATGGGGCTGGGGCTGGAGGAGATTGATGGATAGACAGTGCCAAGCAACCAAGGGATCAGCGTTCAGGGCAGAGTTCCTGGAGTCTGGGGAAGGAGATGCATCATTTCCCTCCCTGAATTTCCTTCTGCTTTCTAGTCCTGGAGAAGATCCGCAGTGCTGTGGGCAGCACACAACTTCTCCTGTCCCAGAAGGTTCAGCAGTTCTTCCGGCTGTGTCAGCAAAGCATGGTGAGTGCCCATAGTAGTAGATCCTACCAGATATATGTGACCCAGAGTGTGTGTGTGCTGGAGGTGAGACAGGCAGGTGACCCAGTGTGTGTGTGTACCAGAGGTGAGACCAGGCCTGCATGCCTGCAGGAGTAGCTGTCAATCTTGTGCCTGGAGGTAGGACCAGGTGTTTGTGCATAAGAAGGGAGGGCTGGGCTCTTTCTTGTCCCCCTGTCTCCCAGCCCCCACCCACTCTCCCAGGCTGAGGTTCCTGGCAGTTAGGGTGGATAGGACTTTCTCTTGTCCTTGTTGCGGGAAGTCAGGGACCCCGAATGGAGGGACTGGCTGACGCCATGGCAGAAGAACATAAATTGTGAAGATTTCATGGACATTTATTAGCTCCTCAAATTAATACTTTTATAATTTCTTACACCTGTCTTTACTGCAGTCTCTGAACATAAATTCTGAAGATTTCATGGACACTTATCACTTCCCCAATCAATATTCTTGTGATTTCCTATGCCTGTCTTTAATCTCTTAATCCCATCATCTTTGTAAGCTGAGGATGTATGTTGCCTCAGGACCCTGTGATGATTGCATTAACTGCACAAATTGTTTGTAGAGCATGTGTATTTGAACAATATGAAATCTGGGCACCTTAAGAACAGGATAACAGCGATTTTCAGCGAACAAGGGAGATAACCTTAAAGTCTGGCTGCCTGTGGGCCGGGCAGAACAGAGCCGTATTTCTCTTCTTTCAAAAGCAAATAGGAGAAATATTGCTGAATTCTTTTTCTCAGCAAGGAACATCCCTGAGAAGGAGAATGCATTCCCAAGGGGAGGTCTCTGAAATAGCTGCTTTGGGAGTGTCTGTCTTTTACAGTTGTAGATAAGGGATGAAATAAGCCCCGGTCTCCTGTAGCACTCCCAGGCCTATTAGGACGAGGAAATTCCCACCTAATAAATTTTGGTCAGATGGGTTGTCTACTCTCAAACCCTGTCTCCTGATAAGATACTATCAATGACAATGCGTGCCCAAAACTTTATTAGCAATTTTAATTTCGCCTTGATCCTGTGATCTTGCCCTGCCTCCATTTGCCTTGTGATATTTTATTACCTTGTGAAGCATGTGATGTCTGTGACCCACACCCTATTCGTACACTGCCTCCCCTTTTGAAAATCACTAATAAAAGCTTGCTGGTTTTGTGGCTTGGGGGCATCACGGAAGCTGCCGACATCTGATGTCTCCCCCGGACACCCAGCTTTAAAATTTCCCTCTTTTGTATGCTTTCCCTTTGTTTCTCAGACTGGCCAACACTTAGGGAAAATAGAAAAGAACCCATGAAGAATTATCGGGAACAGGTTCCCCAGATAGTCCTGCCTGGGGCTCAGACCTCCCTGACCAATCACTTTCCCTCTGTCTTCCTGTGCTGCAGGATCCCACTGCGTTCCCTGTGCCCACCTTCCAGGACCTGGCGGGTTTCTGGGACCTCCTACAGCTCTCCATCGAGGATGTGACCCTCAAGTTCCTGGAGCTACAGCAACTCAAGGCCAACAGCTGGAAACTCCTGGAGCCTAAGGTGGGGCTGGGGTCCCTTCAGGCAAAGAGGCCAGACTCTGGGAAATTCCCCTCCCCAGAGAGGTGAAGGGTGGGACGAACAAGGGGGCAGGGGAAGGGACCCATAGGCAGCAAGGGCAGCCTTGGACAGGTGATAGGTGACCATCCCCTTCCAGAGTGACCATGCTCGTGGCCACTGCCGTCTGCTTGGCCCCAGTGCTCATCAGTGCTTGAGCTGCCAGAACCCCAAGGCTTCCTCAGCGCGGGGTGGGGGCGGCGGGGGGCAGGGAGGCTGCAGGGGCAGGGCCGCTGCAGCTGGAGGGAGCAAAAGGCAAAAGTAGACCTTACAGAAGGACAGACTGTCTTCAGTTCGGGCCTAGGCATCCAGGGCAGAGCCTTGAGAGTCCCCTCAGCTGCCAGGTCGCTGGACCTTGTCTGCGATGAGGGCCAGAGGCCTGGTATGTGCACCCTCATTGCGGAGCCTGGGTCGGGAATTCCCTCCTCCGGGTCGGGACCCCGAGTGAAAACCCGGTTCTGATGTGAGCTGTTGAGAACGGCGCCACCAGGGGGCGCTCGAACGCGCCGCGATTTGGTAGAAAATGTGGGGATTTGACCTTGTCGGAACAGGCGCAGGTGGGGCTTCAGGTCGCGGGATCCGTGGCGGATTCTGAGCGCCATGGCGTTCGGAGCCGCGCGGTCGTCAGCGCTCCGGACGCGGGGGTGCGGGGGCGGGCACCGGGGTGTTAGGATAGTTCGGCGCCCCAGCTCAGCGCTGTCCTCTGCCCCGCAGGAGGAGAAGAAGGTCCCTCCGCCGATACCAAAGAAGCCCCTGCGGGGCCGGGGCGTGCCGGTGAAGGAGCGCTCCCTGGACTCCGTGGACCGGCAGCGGCAGGAAGCGCGCAAGCGGCTCCTGGCGGCCAAGCGCGCCGCTTCCTTCCGCCACAGCTCGGCCACCGAGAGCGCCGACAGCATCGAGATCTACATCCCCGAGGCCCAGACCAGGCTGTGACCGGTCCGGCCCGCCCAGCCCGGCCTGGGCCCGCGGTTCTCCACCCGTACTGTACACCCAGCGTCGAGGTCACTGTGAACGCGGGCCGCCCCGTGCGCCCGCCCCACCGGCACCGCACGCCCCAGCCCCCGGGCCCGTCACACTCTCGTGGGTTTTTTACCTTCCTGACCCCACGCGAAGGCGCCCGGGCTGGGCAGGGGGCCGTGCCTCTCCGCCCTGCGCCCCTCACCTGGATCCCTCGCCCACCTGGTCCGACGCTTTGTCCCCACCTCCTTCCAATGGGCACCATCTCTGCCATTCTTTTCCCCCCACGGGCCAGGCCGGGCCGGGCCCCCCATCTGGGCTCTGCGTCCCCTCCCCCCACCCCGCGGGGCTGGGCTTCGTGGGGATCAAGCTTCGTGGCTTTTTATGAAGAATCCCGAACCCCGCCTAGGAGCCCGCCCCACCCTCCCAGGGGCTCCATCTTCAGCCCTCTGCCCACTGGGCCCAGGGACCACAGTGGCTGGACCAACCCAGGACCAGGGCGCCTGGGCCTCTCCCCTTTCCCAGCGGCTGGGTAGGGGAGATGGGGGCTTCCCCTCACCACACCTGTGGCTGTTCCCACATCCCCTTGAGTATCCCAGGAAAAATAAAACGGCAGAACTGCACTCGAGCCAGCTGCTCTCTCCAGAAGAGGCCACCTCCGTCCCGTGTGTGGGAGGACGGGGGTGAAGGGAGAAGGGGCCGGGAGCCCACTCTCTTGGTTTGGAGACAGCAGGGGTGTTGCCTGAGCTCCTCCCAGGGATGGGCCAGCTGGTGGAAAGGAGATTCGGCCCCCTGATGCCCACAGTAAGGACCTGGACCCTCCTGGAGGGGCCCAGGTGGGGTGAAGAGGGGGAGGGTGTCCATTTCTCCTCTCTTCCGGTTTCGCTGTATCCCATTCTGCCTCCCAGTCCCCAGGGTTCCCCCAGAGAGGGAAGTCCGGAGCTCGCTGAGCACACAGCATGTGCTTGATAAACCGGGAGTGTGGTGATTGTTAGGTATTGACAAATAACTGGTTTCCCTTCCCCTAGGGACGCAGTGTTCCTTCTGCTCCTGTCATTCCTGATCAGCAGCAGAAAAACTTCAGTCCTGCCACATTTTCTGATGCCTCCTATGGGTGGCCACCTTGGTGGAGGCTGGGGTGGGGGAAGAGGAAGTACAAAGAACAGAGCTCTCCTGGGAAGCTAAATGGCAAACAGAACCTAGTATCGATGGCTTTATTGAGTGGCCAGTGTGGGTCAGGCAAGGGGTGAGTGCTTTACATGAATGTGGCTGGTCCTTGAAACAGAAGAGAAAGCCAAAGCTCAGGGCAGGTTACACGACCTGTCTGAGGTCACAGGGCTAAATGTGGACCCAGGTCTAATGTCAAATCGTGAGCTTTTAGCTTTGCAGGCTTCTTAGACCAGAGAGGGCTGATGGCATTCTCCACCCAGAAAGCCCCTTTCCACGCCTTGAGCAGTCCTTTGGATTGGTGTGTCACCTCCAGGCAGGAGGAAAATCCTTCAGGATTGGCTGCTTCTTTGGGCCACACTGGATCAGCTAATTCTTCTCATTCATTTATTCAGCAGACATTTATCACTTTCGGGCGCCACAGGAATAGCCTTGAACAAGATGTAGTTTCTACCCTTAATGGAGCTTATGGTCATATGGGAAAAACAGATAAATAAGCAAGCAGTTAAAATACAGGGGTGAGTGCCAGAAAGATGATTAGGGATTAGCTGCTGAAGGAGGGCCAGGGTTGAGAAGAATGTTCCAAGATCAGGGAACAGCTGTGCAAAGGCCTGGAGGAGGAAGAGACATTGGGAGCACAGGGTCTTGATTATATCAGTGTTTGGGTCTCATTGAGGCAGGTGGCCTGGGTCTTGTGGGCTGTAGGGAGCTATAGAAGGGTTTTGAACAGAAGAGTGGCGTGAACGTTTTATAGACTGGTTTGGTAGACAACTTCTGAAAAGCAAGAGATGGTCCACAATACAAATTCACATGAGCCTGGAAGGTGAGGAGGGCTGTAATGTGATCTGAATTCCCAAAAGCGTTTAGTTTGGAGGTGATCCCATACAGACTCTGGGGCCTCGCCCAAGACTTAGTGAATAGACTCTGCCCTCAAATAAGGTTTTAACAAGTGCTCCACAAGATTCTGAGCAACCAGGTTTGGGAAGACTTAAATTGGATGACTGTCCAAGGGTCTCCAGTAGAAGGGCTGGGTCAGTTTACCTCTCTGAGATTGTTTTATCATCTCTAAAATTGGGGCATGGTTGAGGTTTGAACTCAGAGCAACGCTGTAAGACAGATATTGTTATCATCCCCATTTACAGATGAGGAAACTGGGGCATGGAGAGGTTTAAACAGCTTACCTCAAACCATGAAGCCAGGAAGTGGCTGAGTCTGAGTTTAACCTTTACATTATACAGCATTTTATGGGTCTATGACTTTTCATAGACTTTTCTATGTCTGGTGTGGATGAGTCTCCTTTGGTTCTTGTGGCCTAGGTAGTTATGCTGAGCCCCATATATCAGTGAAAGATTAGGTCCAGTCCTTTGGCTTAAGTTGCTTACAGTCTGGCCATGGCCAGCACATAAACAGAAAGTTATGGTGCAAAGGGAGACCTGCTCTCTCAGAGGGGCCAAGGGGTTGAGAGAGGAGAGAGCCTCTAGCAACCAGGGTGTTTTAGTCCATTTTGTGCTGCTATAACAGAATACTGCAGGCTGGGTAACTTGTAATGGACAGGTATTTATTGGCTCACAGTTCTGGGTGCTGGGGAGTTCAGTGTCAAGGTGCTGGCAACTCGTGAGGGCCTTCTTGCTGTGTCATCCCATGGCAGGTGAGAAGGTAAGAGAGGGCAAGAGGGAGTTGAACTTGTCCTTTTATAAGGGCGTCAGTTGCACCCATGAGAGTGCAACCCTCGTGGCCTAATAACCTCTTAAAGGCCCCACCACTTAGTACTTACAATGACAAATTTCAGTGTAAGTTTTGGAGGGTACAACCATAGCACAGGCAGTCTGGGAGAGCTTTCTGCCTTGTGAGCTGGATCTTGCAGGATGAATTAGCATTTTGTAGTCAAGGAAGAGAAGGGAGAAATTCATTTCCGGCCAAGGGACAAACCTGGGCAAAGCCGTGGAGGCACATGTGTGTTGGGAATGAAAGCACAGGCTGGAGAGGGTGACAGGTTATGGTGGCTGTGGAGGGCGTGGAGGAGATATGGCCAGGAGGAACCCATAGAGTTGGGGGTAGGGGGCTAAGATGGAGGCCTCATAGTTTTATTTGAAAGATAAAACTATGGCCAAAAGACAGGACATGGACTGGAGGGGGCAACAAGACAGCAGGGAGACCATTGAGGGAGCTGCTAAAGTGGTCCAGGTAAGAGATAATGATGTTGACTTTGAGAGACATTTAGGAGGCATACATGCTGCAAGCTGGATCTGGAGAATAACGCAAAGATGGGACGCCTTGAAGGTGTCACTCAGATTTCTGGCTTAATGAATGAGTAATGCCACGAATGGACATAGGACATTACAGAAGGAGCAATACAGTTGAGAAATACTTAACATGTCAATAACCATTTACTGAGCACTGAGAAGGTGCAAACTACTATGCCAAGCACTTTATACACATTTAGGTGATTTAATACTCACAGCAACCCTAGGAGTGGGTACTATTATTGTCTTTTTTTAAAACAAAGAGTGTAAATAGCTTTTCTGAGATAAGCAGACAAGAGTCAGGATTTGAACCCATGGCTATCTGATTTCTAAGTCTATGCTCCTGAGCCCCTCAGCAATTCTGCTTGAGGGAACTGCTAGCCATGACTCAAGACTCAGCTCAAGGCCTGGTTCCTCTAGGGAGCCTTCCCTGAATCTTCCTGGCCGGGCTGAAGATCCTCCTCTGTGCTGCGTGTGTATACTTCTGTCATCACATTTCTTATATTCTATTGACATTTTGTAGACCCATCTGTTTCTTTAGTCAGAGAACTCTGGAGGCAGGTTGGTCCCAGCCATTTTTGCATCCCCAATGCCTAGCACATGATTGGCTGGCCAAATGCCAGTTACTCTGGGCAGTTCTGTTCCCTTCTCGTCTCCACATATTCAGTTAGTGAACAGGTTCTGCTAACCACGGTCTCCTAAATATTTCTTTGTACTGTTGGGGCTCAGAAAGCGATACCCCAAAGACTGGCACTTTGACATGGTAAGAGGCCTTCAAAGCTGCCTCAGAATCAAGGTCCCTCTAACCTTCTCTCCCAAGTATAGGGAGGCACTCTCTCTAGAATGTCCTAATCTAATCAAGAAAACTTCTTTCCAAAAGAAACAAAATTGCCTTCCTCTCCTCCGCGAAATCTCATCTATCTCAGAAAAGAAGACTGAGGAAGGCAACTACGCCTGGATGGATTTTTCACAAGATGATGCCTGCTTCTCGGGCTCATTCAAATTCTAAAGAGAATCATTTTCAAGTTAATTTCTGTCCATTTTTTCGCCCTAAGAATCACGTGCTTCCCTCAAAAGAATTGTCTATATTCTCCATCTCTCCCCTTCCCCTTTGAAAAAGGGTGTATAAGCTTCTGTACCCCATTGGGTTATTGGGTAATCATTCTCCTGTGACCCTTCCCTTCCCGCCCCCTCGCCCCCCACCCCGTGCTATGCACGTTAAAATAAAATTTTGTATGTCTTTTCTCCTATTAATCTGCCTTTTGTCAGTTGATTTTCAGTGAACCTTGGTCCCTACAACACTGTTCCCCTTTCTCCATCTTAACTGCCAGAACTTAGCTTTGAGCTTTTGAGATAATAGGGGAAGGGTGCCTAACGTGGTAAGCAGTCTATGTATGAGGCTTCCTCTGGAGGTGTCCCTGAAGTTTGAAAATTGTGCCAGAGCACAATTTGGCATAGTAAAGAAAGGCGGGAAGGGCACTGCATGGCCAGGCACGGTGGCTCATGCCTGTAATCCCAGCACTTTGGGAGGCTGAGGCGGGCAGATTGCTTGAGCTCAGGAGTTTGAGACCAGCCTGAGCAACATGGTGAAACCCAGTCTCTACAAAAAGTACAAAAATTAGCCAGGCCTGGTGGTGTGCATCTGTGGTCCCAGCTACTCGGAAGGCTGAAGTGGGAGGATCACTTGAGCCCAGAAGGTCGAGGCTGCAGTAAGCTATGATTGTGCCACTGCACTGCAGCCTGGGTGACTGAGCGAGATCTTGTTAAAAAAAAAAAAAAAAAGCGGCTGGGCGCAGTGGCTGACGTCGGTAATCCCAGCACTTTGGGAGGCTGAGGCAGGCGGATTACCTGAGGTGGGGAGTTCGAGACCAGCTTGACCAACATGGAAAAACCCCTTCTCTATTAAAAATACAAAATTAGCCGGGCGTAGTGGTGCATGCCTGTGACCCCAGCTACTCGGGAGGCTGAGGCAGGAGAGAATCGCTTGAACCTGGGAGGCGGAGGTTGCGGTGAGCTGAGATCGTGCCATTGCACTCCAGCCTGAGCAACAAGAGTGAAACTAAAAAGAAAAAAAAAAAAAAAAAGATGGGAAGGACACTCTAGGTAGATGAAAAAGCATCAGTAATTCACTGGGTGTGAAACAGCGTGGTCTGCAGGGTTTTGTATGTGTGAGCAAAATAAATATGCAGGCTGAGATTAGTGGAATGAAGGTGGGAAGGGCCTTGTGGGAGCGTTAAGAAGTTTGAGCTTTGGGACTTTTCTGTATATGATAAAATTGATGTCTGTATAGGGTACAGTGGGGACACAGAGGAGGAAGTGAATACTTGTACCCAAGAGGTCATGCAAGACTTAGGTTTTACTATATTTCAATTATTTTTACACTAACACTAGCCACATTTATTTCCCTGCTGGCTGTGTGCCTGCCACAGTACTTTACAAATATTGTCTCATCCAACCCTCACACCATCCCTGCGAAATGGGTGTTATTACCTCTACACAGAAGGGGAAGGGAGGCTCAGACAGGTTAATAATGTTCCCAGGGCCACTAGAAAGCTAGCCTGGATCCCAAGAGGTCTTAAAGCACTAAATTATACTTTCCTAAGAAGAGCTTCTTGAGGTCAGGGATCATGTCTTTTGTTTTTGCGTGCCAAGACCTAGGTCTTAGAAGACGCCTAATAAACATCAGTTGAAAAAGATGACTGGATGATCGATGTTTCACTTTTTCCACGTAGAAAGCACGTGGCGACAGCACTGAGAAACCTCCAGGCCACCAGGGGGCGCGACGTCCATTTCAGCGCAGTGGGGCCCGGTTGCGGACGCCTAGCTTCCTTCCCTCCTTTGGCTAAAGTTCAGCCAATCCCTGCGCTCCGAGAGCCGGCGGCCAGTGGGCAGGGTCACAGGGCAAGGTCCCGCGGGCCGCTGGGAGCGGCGACTTCCGTGCTCCCGGCGAGCGGGCGGAGAGCGGGGGCCACACTAGGGAGTGTGGGCTGGGCCGCAGGTGAGCGCGCGGTCCCGGCGAGCAGGTCCGGTCAGCCCAGGCCCGTAACCTCTGAGTTACGGGAGGAGTGATCGCTAGGGTCCACCCTGGTCCCGGCCAGACCTGCCAGCCCCCTTCTCTGGTGGGTGCTCTGGTGCCCAGTCTGGGAGTCCAAGTAGCCCTCCGCAGACAGGGCTTATCGGCACCTCAGTGAGGACGGACGTTGATGAGGCCACGAATGAGGTGGGCTAGGGGCAGTGGACCGGGAGCCCCACAGAAGGGAGAAGGGTAGCCATTTGGATGGACCCTGACCTCACTTGCGCTCCCATTCCTGGACTGCGCTTGAGTGACTGTCAGGGTTAATTCTTTCACCTTCTCAGGCCTCCTCTGTCCTTGTTAGCAGTTCTTGAATTTAGGACTACGGCTTCTGGCCTCGTTGGGCCTCCGGGCCCCGGCACTGGGGCAGGTTTCCCAGCAACTCAGTTGACTTTTACCGGATGCTTTTGGCAGACCTCCAGTCCTCCATGCCGGGCTGGAAATATGCGTCACAGTGTTTTTCAGACACTTTTGCCTCTTTCATTGTGATACCTTGTCTGGGGATGACTATGATGGAGTCTTTAGGTTTCTGTAATCAGCAAAGGCGTCTGTTATGTTCCTGCCACCTTCTGGAGGAGAGTGGGTGGAGAATGTTGTGATTTTACACTAGGGAGTTGTTTGGGCTGTCATTCATTCGTTCAGCAGACCTTTTTTTGGGCACTCTGCCAGGCAGGGTGGGAGAGGTGCCTGGATGGATAGGGCACAATGGGGCCAGACGGACATGGTGCTTAGCCTTTTGGAGCTTAAAGTGTCTTGAGAAATGCAAACAGGGTAAGCCAGCACCGTGCCTGACACAGCGCAAGTGGTTATAAGTGTTGAATAAAGGAATGAATTGACTTATTTGGGAATGATTAGAATGTGAGCAGGACGGTAGAGAGAGACTTTATGCTGCATGTGAGAGATCGTTGTGAACTCAGGCTCGATATGTTTTAAGACAGATTTGAAAGTCTGGACAGTTGCTATTTAGGGAAGCATTTACTTCTACAGAGGACTTGCTTTAAAGGTGGAAGGAAAATGAAGAAGTATTAGGTTTGGGATTCTTCAGAGGTGCCTCTTTTAACTCCTGTTATATCTCTGAATTTCACAAATCCCTGAGTATAATCTCAGGGTTTGGGAAAGGGGAAGCTCTTCTAGGTAATGAAATGCCAGGCTGATGGGAAAAGAACTGTAGGAAGCTCTCTCCAAATCCAGGATTTGAACAGAAATCGTATACCTCTGCAGTGTGTTCTTCCCACTAGAAAGAGTGTAGACTTTGAAGTTGGAGAGGCCTGGGTTGAAAATCAGTGGCTCTATCACTTCTGGTGATTTTGGGTAAGTTAACATAATGTCTGTGAGCCTTTGTGTCAACAAGAGCCTGGGCTAATCATTCCTACATCATAGAGGTGTTATGAGGATCAGGTGATGGTTCGTGTGTAAATTGTCATCATAGTGCCTGGTGCTAAGACAATAAGGAGGGGAGTCTTGGAGATGCTGCAGTTTTATTTATTTTTTTATTTTATTTATTATTTTTAATTTCATTATGCTCCCTTACTGGGGGGATCCTCAACCTCCTGGGCCACAGACCGGTGGTGGTTTTCAGCCCATTAGGAACTGGGCTGCACAGCAGGAGGTGAGCGGTGGGCCAGCTGGGAAGCATTACCGCCTGAGCTCCACCTTCTCATAGATCAGCAGCGGCATTAGATTCCTACAGGAGTGCAAACCCTATTGTGAACTGCACATGCGAGGGATCCGGGTGTGTGCTCCTTATGAGAATCTAATGCCTGATGATCTGAGCTGGAACAGTTTCATCCCGAAACCATCCCTCTCCATCCCCCATCTGTGGAAAAATTGTCTTCCACGAAACTGGTCCCTGGTGCCAAATATAGGTTGCGGACCGCTGCCTTATAGTGTTAATGTCCAGAGAACAATGGGATTCCTTCAAAGAGAATTGGGAACCAAAGAGAGAGGGGGAGAATCATCTTATCCTTGGTGAGGTTTTGATTGTTCACTTTAGATCAGAGATAGCAGTGTTGGAGAAGTACCTACGGGGGCATAAACAGAAAGATCTTTTAGTGGATACTTTTGGGCAAGTCTCTTAACCCTCTGATAGTGGGTTATGTATCTACCTTACGTGGTGGACATGAGGATTAAGAGAGAGAGTGCATACGATGTGCCTAGCCCAAGGCCTAGCATGTAATAAGTGCTCAATACATGGTAGCTGTGTTATTATAACTGTGAATGATCTTTGATAATTGATAATGTAATAATCATTTGAGACAGAATGGCCATTAGAGTGACCCAATTTGTGTGTTTTTACATTACTTTGGCATTGCCCTACTTCATTTCAGGAGGCCCTGAGACAATTCCACTCCTCTCCCTGCCCCCCTACCCCCGCCCCAGCTCCCGGCCAGGGCTTGTACAGTGGTTTTTCACAGTAAATCTTCAAGTTCTGCGATATCCAGAGTATGTATAATGATTTGTGATATTTTCAGGAGCTTTTTATGTAAATACGACTGTATGGGTTTCATTGAAGACAGGAATTTTTTTTTTCTTCTTGAGACGGAGTTTCGTTCTGCCGCCCAGGCTGGAGTGCAGTGGCGTCATCTCAGCTCACTGCAACCTCCGCCTCCCAGGTTCAAGTGATTTCTCCTGCCTCAGCCTCCTGAGTAACAGGGATTACAGGTGTGAGCCAAGATAGGATACTTTGAAAGTGGTTTAGTCAGCAGATTTGTAAAGTATAGGTTTGTCCCCTTGTTAGAAAAGCCAGGTTTCAGAATAGGATAAAACCATTATCTATTTACCTAAAATCCAGAATAATTAGGTAACACAGTATGTATTTGACTGTTTAAATATACTCCTTATGCTTTACATGAGGAAAAGGAACGACTTTTCATATGGTGGAGAATTGTAGAATTGTGTGTCATGGGGAAAAGGTGGCTGGCTGCGCTCATGGAGAAATTTCATAGAGCAGAGAAAGGCGTCTTTTTCCCTTCTTGAAATGTTGGCAAACTAGGGCCTGGGGTCAATGGGCTTGAAGCTCTATTAGGTAAGGCTCAGAGGTCCCCTTGTGGGGAACATTGTCATATATTGGTGCACACTTGTCAAAGATTACAGTCTGTAAACTGGAGATCCCTCCTTCTTCCCTAACAATGGAATCTTTTGAAATTTCCTAGATTATTTCAGGGACCCACCTCTCGCATTGCTCTGCATGGGGGTGGGTGCTCAGTAAGTTGTGCCAGGCTGGCCAGGCACGCTGACTCACGCCTGTAATCCCAGCACTTTGGGAGGCCGAGGTGGGCAAATCATGAGGTCAGGAGTTCAAGACCAGCCTGACCAACACGGTGAAACCCTGTCTCTACTAAACAAATACAAAAATTAGCTGTAATCCCAGCTACTTGAGACGCTAAGGCAGATAATTGCTTGAACCTGGGAGGTGGAGGTTGCAGTGAGCCGAGATCGCACCACTGTACTCTAGCCTGGGTGACAGAGCAAGACTCTGTCTCAAAAAAAAAAAAAAAAAAAAACCAAAACAAAAAGTAAAAAACATTGTGCCAGGCTGCCTGGTAAGTGGAGAGCCCTAGTGGGTTGCTCTTATTTGGTGGGAGGTGATGCTGGGTTCTCTCTAATGCTGCCTTGTGCTCTTCCACAGATGTCATGTGGCCTGTGTTTTGGACCGTGGTTCGTACCTATGCTCCTTATGTCACATTCCCTGTTGCCTTCGTGGTCGGGGCTGTGGGCTACCACCTGGAATGGTTCATCAGGGGAAAGGACCCCCAGCCCGTGGAGGAGGAAAAGAGCATCTCAGAGCGCCGAGAGGATCGCAAGCTGGATGAGCTTCTAGGCAAGGACCACACGCAAGTGGTGAGCCTTAAGGACAAGCTAGAATTTGCCCCGAAAGCTGTGCTGAACAGAAACCGCCCAGAGAAGAATTGATGGAGGACACAGGGCCCTACGGCCCTACTGTGGGCGGTGACTTGTCCTGCTACCATGTTGACAGAGCCCCAGAACCCACATCTAATTGGCTTTGTTGCTTATTCTGGCCCCTCCCACACCACACAGCCACACAAATACTGGCTGCTCCTTGATGTCCAGGCAGACCCAGCGGCAGCCAAAGGGCCAGTGAAGAGGAAGGCCGCATCTGTTGTGTGGTGGCCACAAGCACTCAGGCATCTGAGTTTACTGGTGCACTGCTGGGAGGAGTGTTATGAGATGAACGTTGGCTGTCAATCTCTGTGGGCAGGCGGTTTGGCCTCGAGTGGGAATGGCTGGGATTTGGGTGTTGCCTTTAGGAGGGATACCTGCATGTCTAGTTCCAGTCTGCACTGGGAAGAATTCAAATATGCACCTGGCTCCCTTCACTGTTTTGCCCTATCCTTTGTGCTCATTCTTACTGAAATCTGTCTTGTTAGCTCAGGAATGGGATTCCCCCAGGAAGGAAAGCATTTTTCTGTTCTGGGAAGCCCAGACTGTTCACTATGGGGCAGGGACGAACATGTGCCTCGTGAATTTGCTTGAAAACAGTCCCCATCATCTACCCCCATCACTGTAGAGTGCAAAACTTGATTAAAGTGGTATCTGAGAACCATAATGATCGAATCTTATCATCTAGATGGTATTTGGGAGTCTTCTTAGGAGTTAGGCAAGTACAGGTGTTTTAGAGCAGGATAACATTGGTATTAAAGGGTGCCAAGGAGCCCTGGAAACTGCTTTACTAGTGCGGTTGCATTGAACCCTGGAGGCACAGATTCCCAGGAACCTTTTTACCATCATTACAATTGGCTGTAGCAGCTTCAAGTCTAAATGGAAGTAGACCACACACACACACACACGCACACGCCTTTCCCTATAAAAGTATATACGCACATTCAAGAAAATTTGGTAGGGATTTTAAAAAGGGCACCCATGTTCCCAGCTCGTTAATAACAACCATTAACATTTTGTTGTCTTTTACTAATTCTCTGCATAGGTTTTAAAGATAGTTATTACTGTACATTTAATTTTATATACTTTTCTCACATTATCATTTTTCCATTTTGTGTGGTCATCATTCACGGCTCAGTGCAACCTTGACCTCCTGGGCTCAAGTGATCCTCCCACTTCAGCCCCCCAAATAGCTGGGACTACAGGAGTATGCCACCACGCCCAACTAATTTTTTTATATTTTGTAGAACCAGGTCTCACTATGTTTCCCAGGCTGGTCTCAAACGATCCTCCGGCCTTGGCCTGTAGTTTTTTGTTTTTTTTTTTTTGGAGATGGAGTCTCATTCTGTCACCCAGGCTGGAGTGCAGTGGTGTGATCTTGGCTCAAGGCAATCTCTGTCTCCTGGGTTCAAGTGATTCTCCCGCCTCAGCTCCCTAAGTAGCTGGGATTACAGGCGTGCACCATCACGCCTGGCTAGTGTTTGTGTTTTTAGTAAAGATGAGGGTTTCACCATGTTGGCCAGGCTGGTCTCAAACTCCTGACCTCAAGTGATCCCGTCTGTCTCAACTTCCCCAAAGTGCTGGGATTACAGGTGTGAGGCACCGTGCCTGGCGGCCTGTAGTTTTTGTTTTTTTTTTTTTTAATCTGGAGTCTCGCTGTATTGCCCAGTCTGGAGTGCAGTGACGTGATCTCGGCTCACTGCAACCTCTGCCTCCCGGGTTCAAGCGATTCTCCTGCCTCAACCTCCTGGGATTAGCTGGGAGTAGCTGGGATTACAGGTGCACGCCATCACGCCTGGCTGATCTTTGTATTTTCAGTAGAGACAGGGTTTCACCATGTTGGTCAGGCTGGTCTCGAACTTCTGACCTTGTGATCCGCCTGCCTTGGCCTCCTAAAGTGCTGGGATTACAGGCATGAACCACCGCACCCGGCTGTAGTTGTTTTTAATAGCAACATAATTGTCTATCAAGTGGGAGTATGGCATAAGTTTATTCTGGACAGTTTCCATACTGCCGGACATTTCAATTGTTTCTGGTTGTTCACTTGTTTAGATACTGCAAATGAATATCTTATATGAAGCTTTTCTTGCATTTTGGAATAAACAGTAAAAATAGTAAATGTCACTGTGGATGAAATGGGATAAATGAGCAGTTTTGAGGATCTCATGCATAACACCAAATGTCTTTCCTAAAGGGCTCTAGGAGTTTCTACTAAATGTTACCACTTAAGATGTTGCTGGTAAGGCTGTGAGGGGAGTAAAAGCAGACGGCAGGAAGAAGCATAAGAAGCTGTTGCTTCTTGAAGCCGTCTGATAGTTTAAGTCAGCAAAGGGCAGTACTGAGCATTTCGTGAATTAATCTGCCTCTAAAAGGGAGTGGGTATTGGCCTTGCTTCTTAGACTGTCTCTCCTGAGGCCTGATGGTGTTCACAGGTGGGTGAGGGTGGAGTTCCTGAACAGTTAGAGGTGTCAGCTGTGAAGAGGTGCCAGCTGGAGGTACCTTCCAGAACCTGGTGGTGGCCTGAGAGGAGGGAGCAGGTTGAGTCGTTGGCTTCGTCTAGGTCACTGAGGCCTAGTGGGAATGTGGAAATGAGCTGCTGTTGCTTCGCAGGGAACAAATCCGATGGAGCTTGGGGAGAGGCTGTCAGCTACCAAGTAAGGAGATTTCTGGTTCTGGCTGATGAGCAGGCCTCATTGGCACACCAGTGCTGCCACCCTATGGCAGTCCTGGGCATTACCAAGCCTGCAATCGCTTCCCTGGGCTAAACCAAACACTGGTGCCGGCAGAGGTCAGGTGACAAATGCGCCACCACGCTGGCAGAAAGTACAGACCTGCCGAAAGGGGGCAGTGGCGACTCACCTTCCAATCTGCTGCTCATCCAGTGGTACCAGAGTTTTGAATTTTTCTAAAAGATGTTCTAAGAGTTCCAGAGAGTGTAAAAAAGAAAAAAAAAGAAAAGATGCTAGAAATTCAGGGTTGTCTGGTGTGTGTAACCTTCTGATTTTTAAGTGTTGATAGTTCATTTTACAAAATTCTAAGCATGCTAACCTACCTGTGGGGTTAATTTGACCCAGTGGCTGCCAATTTGTGACCTCTCAAACTACCTCCTCCTTCTGATGACACCTAAGAAATATGCTTTTGTTTCGATCTATCAACTTGTGACAAATATTAGATCCCAGAATTGGTTTCCCTCAAAACCCTTTTGGGCATCCTGTACAAAGACAGCTTAATAACCTAAGAAAAATGTGAGGATGGAAAGCCTACAGAAATAATAGCAAACACATTTTCCCACAGACATTTTTGGATTTTCAGATCTTTTAAAATATCCCTGTCACCACCCATTGGCCTGCACTCGGTGTCTGGTCGAGAGAGCCCTATCTTTCGGAATCCAAGTGGCTCCCTTCTTCCAGTCTCACTTTGATTGTGCCCCCTTTTAAATACTTTTCTTTCCAAGAGCACGTCGTCACTGAATTTCTTCCTCTAGCAAGTCTATTAGTATTCTCAGCTAGATCTTTCTTTCCCACAGGCTGGCTGAAATCGGTCATTGCAGTGGCTGTAAGATAGTATATGTGCTCTTGTCTCTGCTCAGGTGACATTAGGTAGCAAGGTTTATGTGGATGTGGGTATAGACAGGTCAGGGTTGCTGGAAAGAACCAAGGTACAGACTGGTTTTCTTCCATGCTTGCTGATTCACCTTGGAGGCAGTGACCCTCTTTTTGACTGGCCTTCCAGTCACAGTTCACTGAAACACATGAGTGAGTGGACGTGCTTGGGGCTTTTTGCTCCCACCACTTCTCCCCGTCTCTTCCCAGCCCTGTGATGGTGTTGGCTTTAGTATAGGGTTATCCTGTCCGAGCACGGCAGGAATCACTTCTCTCCCTGCAGCGGTTCAGTGTCTGGTGCTTTTCCACTCTTTCTAGACCCTTTCCTGTGCCTGTTGCTGTGTTAGCACAAGTCGACTGGGCAGCTGCCAGAACAAGCCTGCCAGGGAGCCTTTTGACTCTGGTCAGCTCCCCAGGGCTCCTGGTTGGTGGGACTGTCGCTGAGTGAAACATCATGGAATTAGCCTTGCCAGAGTCTGGGTTGGGAGCCAGGCAGTGAAAATGTAAAAGCCCCTCTGTCTTGCCTCACTTTTTCTTTTCCACTTTGCTTTAGATCTCTTAAGTACTTGTAAAGTAGGGAGCCAGGGCAGTGTAGCAGAGGAAAAATAAAGTGGATTCTCGAGTCTGACAGACTTGAATTATGAATACTGCCTCAACCATTAACTGGATGACCTTGGGCAAGTCACTTAGCCCTTCTGAACCTCAATATCCTCACCTGTAAAACAGGGGTGAGAATTTTTGTTGGGTTGTTGTGAGGATGAGGTAATTACGTAAAGTTCTTAGCATAGTGACTAAGAACTTTACATAATTACCTCTGAACATAGTGACTATGCTAAGAACTTGACATACATTGTCACAGACTATGCTAAAACTTTACATACATTACCTCATCCTCACAACCACCAGTGGGTACTCAGTAAATGTTAGCAGCTTTAATTGTATTGCAGGAAGAACCTATGTTTCCTGCAATAGTTGCGTGTATCCTTGTGCTCCTGGTGAGGCGGGGGTCTCGGGGAGAGAGCAGCCTTGGCTGAAGGACAATAGGGACCCTCATAGACCTGGTGGTTGAGAGCTGCTGATAAATATTTCACAGAAAGAACTGGCTTGCGTAAGAACCAAGAAGCACAGGCTGGTCAGGAGACTGCAGGCTTCCCACCTGCCTTCGTGGTAGCTCCATCAGGGCAGTCTGCAAAGTCAGAGGGAAGCAGATTGGCCAGAATGCCCAGGAGGTCACAGATCAGGAGAATTGGGAGAGGAAAGAGCCTTGGACTTGGAGGCAAGAGGTCTGAGTGGTGACCTGGGGTATGCCGCTTCACCTCTCCTGGCCTTGGTTTCCCTGCAAAATGGGGAACGTGTTCCCTGCTGATCCTGTGAAGAGGGAGAAAACCAGTTTAGAGTGCTCTGAAAACATGCAAGTGCTAGATATTACAGCCCAGTAAAACCTCCTTTATCTAGTTGGGATGGCAGCCAGTCTGAATAATAAACTACAAATACATGTGCTGTTATTTCTTTCCTGTACACAGCCTATTTTAAAGTATTTGCGAAGTAGAAGTCTTTACGGGAATCAATTTGAAGAGTGAGGAGTAATTAGTAACTGGTGTATCCGTTTTCATCCTGTTCCAGCAGTGCCTGTGGTACTTGAAAAACAGTTTATTCTTTTTGAATTAAACTTGTTAACATCAATTATCTGTTAATCAGATCCTTTTTACATAATACAAAAGTAAACCCTGGCTTTGTTTTTTGTTAAAAATGCCGAATGGGCCCTTCTAATTATTGAGATTTAAAAACATCTTTACTAGCGCCCCAACAAGGGCAGCTTTTCCATCTAGAAGAATCCAAAGTCCTTAGGGCCCTTATTCCCTCTCTCAGTGCCCAGTTTCTTCACTTCCAATCCCCGCTCCAATGTCCATTTCTCCTTCTCTGAGCCTAAGCTGCTAAGTGCAGCTGGAGTAATTTGTATAACCATCTTGCCTGGCCCTCTTCCTTCATGGGTTGTGGATGGCAACAGAGTCTGCAACACTTCAAGGTAATCTTTTTTTTTTTGAGATGGAGTCTCACTTTGTCA